GCTCAGTGGTGCTGCAGCCTGCCTCACAAGCACAAGGTCCAGAGTTTGATCCCTGGTACCAAAAAGAAAAAAGAAAAAAACAACCACCAAAATTAATTGTCTCATATTTCTGTAGGCTAGAAGTCAGAAATCAAGGTGTTGGTAAGGTGAGGTTATACTCTCTCTGATGATCTCCTGGGGGCACAATTAAATTCATAATAATTTACTAATCTGTTGATATATGTGTACCATTAGGCACTGACATCTGGTGTCTCAATTGAAAACTTTATGCATGGATCTTTCAAGGAATGAGATGAAGTTTTTCTGTGGTACAAAAAAAAAAATCTGTGGTTAAAGAACTTAAAATCTTATGGAGAGAAAAACTGTTACATGTCAAGGAAAAACAAGGAAAGCTATAGAGAAAAAATATCAATGACCCTGTATACATCTTACATTAGTTTCTATTTGTATTATATGCTTTCTAGAAATGTGATGTTTCCTCTTCAGAGATCTAATTCAAAGTAGACTGTGTGTGTGTGTGTGTGTGTGTGTGTGTGTGTGTGTGTGTGTGTAAAATGGCCAAATAAATGTTTTTATTTCTAGGAGTTGTCTTGTAATTCTAGATAGATGCATCTTACACTTCAGATGATCAAGTTTTGCATAGCTTTTATTTCACTATGGGGAGCTGTCTGTCCCTTTACAATGTACAAGTTTACATACTTTTACTTTCTTTCACAATAAAACTAGTGAAGCTGGGGCAGGGGATTTAGCAAGCACAAGGACCTGAGTTCGATCCCTGGTACCAAAAACAACAACAACAACAACAACAACAACAACAACAACAAAAAACCCCAATAAAACCAAAAAACTAGTAACGCTCACAGAATTCTTGTATTGCTCTATTAGCTTCTTTCTACAAAAACTTGGAATGTAATTTTATTCTGTGTTAAAAATATAGAAAGTGATAAAAAACAGAAAATATTAGTATTTTTAGACTAATAAGGCTTTTCAATAATTTAAAATCAAGCTAGACATCATGAAGATAATTTTTTTTCTTTTTATTGAGTTTATTGGTACAATCTAGGTATACAATACAGTTGCATTCATTATTGGGATTCTGTACCTTTACATAATAGGTCTCGATTCTCATTTTTTCCCCTTGTCCCTGCCCTCTCTTCACCCCCCTCCTCCCCTCCCCATTTACACACACTTTATTTCCATTTTTTCAGTTTCTCATATTTTTTTCTTCTCCCTTATTACCTTTCCCCCACCCTTCCCACTTTCCCTACACCGTTAGCCCTTTACTTCCTATTTCACATTATTAATTATCTCATTAGGATCCTGTGTACTATTATAGTTTTTCACACCAAAGAAACTATTCAGTATTTCAGTTAAAGAAATATCTGTATGAACATTAAAAATAGGGAATCCTAAAATAAAACTAAAAAGGAAAGTAAAAGAGAAAAGGCAATGATGTAACATTAAAATAATCCTTAATTCTGGAGATGAAAATGGTCCCTGAACATATTTAAATTGCTTTTTGCTCTTGTAGTCTTATCTTATTCTTTTTTTTATTATTTAGAGAATACTTTATTAGTTTCTGTAATCAAACCCATGTAGATGTGACCTTACATATTTAGTACGATATGTTACCCCTGTACACAAGGAAAAAAAAATAAAAACAAAAAAATTAACATTTCTAGACCAATATGGCTGTCCATTTCTGTACAATGTCAATTCAACACAGTAAATTGGGATGACTTTTTCCAAAGTTGGCAGCACCGTTAAAGTAAGACAATTTTGATATATTAACTATTTAGAAATTATTGTCTATTAAAACTAGCAACTTTAACATGCCATTTCCAGTAAAGGTAAAATGGGCAGAATGTTTTGGAATATATAAAAGACTAAGGGATGTTTTCCTTATAATGAAAAGAGTTCAGATAAATCAGGAAGGAAGAAGACAAAATATCTCTTCAAAAAACATTTTCTGGGGCTGGGGACTTAGCTCAGTGGTGCCACTACCTGCCTTACAAGTGCAAGGTTGTGAGTTAGATCCCTGGTACAAAAACAACAACAAAAAGACACACAACATTTTCCATTACCTAAAAAAAAGGTAGACAAAGAAATAAAAATACCATTCACATTAGAAAGTGAATTGATCATGTGGAAATTACTCTATTTTTCTATAATAAAAGAAACACAAATTCACAAAAAAATTTTTTTTAGATTGAAACATTAAAAAAGAATAAATCCACTGTTGTTGAGTAGGTAGGGTGGGTAACTAAATACAGACCTACATTATTGGTGAGAGATAATAATAGTCTATGTATAAAAATTCTACCCAGAAATTCTACTCCTAAGACTTTATACCATGAAAGTTATTTTAAAAAATGAACTAAGATATTTGAACAAAATTATAGTATAGGTTTTAATAGTGAAAAATTTAATGCAACCTACACATTTTATAAATGAAGACATGATTGAATAAGTTGGGAAGTCGTGAAATGTAATTCTAGGTAGCCATTAAAAACATACAAATGGAAGCAGGCATGGTAGTGTAGTGCATGGCTGTAATCCCAGCACTCTGGAGGGTGAAGCAGAAGGAACACATGTTCTAGGCTGGCTAGGACAACATGGCAAGTTCAAGACCAGTCTGAGTTATACACAGACAGAGCCAATTTCAACAGAACAAAACAAACAACAACAAAATACACAAATCTGTAATTATTCCTGTGGAAATGTTTACCATTTGTTCACTGCAAATTAGTTGAAAAGAAAACAATGTATCTATACATATAAAAACTTATACACTAACATTTTAATAATGGCTATTTGAAGTAGGGTGTGGGTAATAACTCATTATTCATTTCTACATTATCTAAATCTCTTGTAATGATCACTATAACCAAAAAAAGAAAGACGAAATAGCTGTGAAGGAGAGAATAAGAAGAAAGAAGAAAAGAAAAGGAAGGAAGGGTGAGGTGGAGAAGAAATGTTTTCTTCAGAGTTTACTCTTGCTTCAGCTTCTCTCTTCTCCTTTAAGGTTTCACTTAAAATACTTACCTTTCAGTTTTCTACATTTCCCTTAAACTGGAGAGAATTTTAAGCCATGTATATTTAAATTAAAATTTTACAATATTGAAAATAATAAATCAATCCATGACATTGTTTTGCCTATGGAGAAAAATAGAATTAGGTGGGTTTACCAAGTATGAAAAACACTTGTACTCAGGGCAGACCAGAGTATGTGTATCACTTTGCTATTTTACTTTAGCAAAACGTTTTCTAATGGGAAGGTCAAGGAGAACAAGGAAGCCTTTCATTTATTCTTCCGGATGCCATAGGTCCTATTCTTGCCCTTTTGCAAGATTGTTGTCTTTCAGTTGAGCTATGACTTCAGCCAAAAACTGTAGACCTTCCCCATTTATTCATTCAGTCAGTCATAAATTCATTCAAGAAATATTTTTTGAAGCGTATGCTATGCCAGGCACAGTTTTGTATATTTGATAGCTATCAGTGTCCAGCTTTCCTGGAACTTGTATTCCAACACTTAAGAAAACAGACATATAAAAGCAGCTATTGTTGCAACTGCTGTTATTCAGTATCCCATAGAGAAGTTTAACCTAAAAGCTAGAAAAGTGGTAAATGAATTCATATATATGTTATATGTGACTAAAGGAAAGTTTGTTTTTCTGCTATATTTTGTTTGGAGTACCAGGAAGTTTATTTTGTGCCTAACTAGAATAATTGTGTAAAATATTGTGTCCACTGTATTCACGTCAACATTTTCTTTCTGAAATCCTATCTTCCTATTTCATCTACATTTTCATTGGTATTAACTTTTAAACACACGAATTGCTTTGTTTCACTAGTAATGCATTTCATTTTAATGTATTTATAAATGCTGCAAATCTCAAATCTCTGGAGCTAGATAAATGCGATTTTTAAAGAACATTTAAAAACAGACAAATCCACAATGTGGTATACTCAAGACAACTGTCTTTTCAAAAAGTCAGTATGAAGAAAAATTTAAAGGTGGAGGGAATTGTTTTAGTCTGAGAAATGAAAACAACCAAACCCAAAGCCCAAAACAACCATATGCAGCGAGACCCCTATTACACCCTAAAAGAAGGTATTATAAGATTTTGAGAACTGAGCACACCTGACTATTGCCTGGGGAATTAAATAAGATTAGTAAATGCTAATTTTCTCAGTACTCAAATAGCATTTGATTATGAAGGGGAATGTTATTTTTAGAGATACGTACTGAAATGTTTTGGTGTGTATAATTTAGAAATGATTCAGTTAAAAAAATCGTGTTCACAAATATTCTTATGAAGTAAAATGTGGCAAAACGTTGAACTACTGAGTAGTGGGTAGCACGACTGAATTAGGGGGGGTTATCAATCTGGGGTTTATTGTGTTTGCCGCTGTAACTATGACATCATCAGAAAGCTAGAATTACTGCCGCTCCAAAGAACCAGGAACTCTCGCGATACCACAGCTTGGTGGAGCGCGAAATGCAGTGGGCGGGGTCTTCAGAGCGACTAACTTCCGGCCAGGCCGTTGTCTGGGTGGCTCGGCGGAGTCATCGTAGAGCTTCGCTGCTCGGTTCTTCCATCTCCTCCCCGCCCCCCCCGCTTCGGCGCGGGGGGTCGACCGGCCGAGGGAGGCGGCTCAGCCCTTTCTCGCCTTTTC